GTTTCTATTAATGTCTAAACAGAAGGATTTAATCAATTATAAAAATGTGCTTCTAAAACCAAACACTGTATCAATATCAGAGTTGAACACTCCTCGGAACAGAAAATAAGTTAAAACATACATTTGCTCACACTGTAGCTGTCAGCCTCCAAAAAAAAAAAAAAAAAAAAGACAGAAACATTTCACACAAAAGGGGAAAAAAAAAAGACACAAAGCTGGAGGTAAACTGAAGAGTGACAATAATGAAGACATTTATAGCTTCTCTCACAGAAAAGGTCTTAGGAAATAATGGCTGAGCCTATTGATGTTCCCATAAACAAAAGATTAAAATTTAATTAGAGCTCATTTCCCTGAATGAGGATTCTCTCACTACCGTCTCAAAAGGGGCTCCAGTTTTTATGTATGAATCTGAAAACATGTTTCTCCTAACAAGGGCACCAGACAAAAATGCATTATTACTGAGATTCAACTAGTATCACTCTAATTTCATGAATAGATGAGGAAGACTTAATAAAGAAATGTCAACCATTACGATTTAAGTAAGTTCCAGCAATTGCCCTTTTTTGGAACAGAGGGAGGCATAAAGAGATGCTACTGTATTTGACTGGGCTACAAAGCAAACTAACACACCTGGAGGATTGCCAGATAAAACACAGGATGTCAGTTAAATCTGAATTTCAGATAAACAACAGTAACTTTTTTTGTATTAGTATTTAGTACTATACTAAAAGGCAGAGTCCTGTTGGGACACACCAGCTGTGTCCCACGCTAAGAAATCCAGCCGCCATCCTGTGAGCAAAAGGAAATGACAATTTAACCCTTAATACTCTTGGCTGCATAAGCAGAGGGCAGCAGGGCTAATTAGAAGGCTTAATAGTCCAGGGAGCAGCTGAAGAAGGGAAAACAGATTCTGTGGGGAGAAGTCATAGTTGTCAGGACTGTATGACAGAACTCAAGAAGAGGATGGGGAAAAGTTCTTTCTTTTGGGCTGGAAGGAGAGAGAGGTGGGGAGGACAATGAAGGGAAATGCAAGAACAGATCAGGAGTTTGTTTCTGACACAAAGGCTCTGAACACTAAGGCATCCTCGTGAGAATGTTTCTGGAAACTGGTTCACAACAGCAGTTAGGACTGGATACAAGGACACAGAAAGGTACAGGTAGTAAGAGAAGTCATAAAGTGACTTCTCAAGAAGTCTGAATTTTTCAGTTTTAATTACAGTGCAATCAGCATGGTTAAAAGCTTCAGATAGTAAAGTAATGGGGACCACACAAAATGAAAGTTTCAAAGACTCTGACCTGAAAGTTATACTTGTATGAGAGGTACTAGTAACAGTGAGTAAAATTATTTTAAATCTGTAAAAGCTATATATTCATGAAGGAGAAACCAAACTTGTTAGGTTGCTTCATTCCTATGAGATGCACTGCTCTGTAATATTCTAATAATGTAACTCTTTTCCTCCCTCCCCTTCCTCTCTTCTGCTCTGTCAGCATACTACCTGCCTTTAAACTATTTCCTGACAACCTCACCCCACCCAGCTCCTACCCCCACTCTCATATATACCTGTTGGCACCTCTTTCATCTACACTAGCCCACCTTCAGACTTTTCTCCAACTCCCTGCCCCAAACCCACTGCTCACTCCTTCTCCCCAACCTCCATTCCAAAAAGAATGTTAATTCTCAGCGGGAAGCACACAGACAAAAAACGCAAACATGTTACTGCATTTGACTGCACTACTCTGAGAGGCAGGAGCTTCCAGCCTATCACCCCAAAAATTACCCTCCCTTGTTTATTCCAGCCCATCTCAAATGTGCCCAGAGGGATTAGCTCATTGAAGGGTGAGTATGTGGCATTACATGTTCATCCAAAGTAAAAGTAGGCAAACAACCCCCTGCTCTAAATACTAACCAAGACTTCCTTTATGCTCTGGGCATGACTGGCCACATTTAGCCTTCAGTAAGAGGCAAATATTTTCAGACAAAAAACCTCCAAGTTGAACAAGCTGGCAGAATTGAAGCAAAGGGAATTTGCTCTAATTAAATATTTGCTGTTCTAGAATTTCAAATTCTCACGGACTCTAGACTAGAGCCATGGAAAATGGACAAACCCCTGAAACTACTGCCCTGCGATAATCTTTAAACCTTAAACCAAAAATATCCCTGAAGTCATCTTATAACCAAACAAATTTTTAGCTGAACTAATGAAAAAGGTATTCCTTGAGCACTATGCTCTTTTAAGGACTATCTCTACAGGATCAAATTGACAACAGCAACTTAAAAGATTAGATAGGAACTTTAGGGGGTAGTGAGTTTATGTTAGTGGGGGAGGAACAGCTCAGAAAAGGAAGGTGTGAATGTTCACACAACTCAAAGAATGCAATCAGTGTCACTAAACTGTACACGTAGAAACTATGGAATTGGTGTATTTTCATTATACATATTCTCAACAACAAGATAAATGAAGTTTAGAAAATATATATACATATATTTGCTGTACCAAGCTCCATCTCAGTTTCAGAAAAAGAAAATACACACCACACACAGATTCCAGACTGCGGGGTGAGGGAACGCGCCTGCTAAGGGTGTTGCCCGTTAAGTCTGTCTCTGGGCATCCAAGGACAGACATGTCAGCCAGGCTCACACACAGCCTGTGTTGTTTCTGCACAGACCTCTGAGAACAAGGGGTTTCCTCCTGATCCTCAGAGCAACCAAAACCAAAGCCACAAATTATCAAGTGGACTTCCAACCCTAACTCCAGCACATATCATGTGACCTTGGGCTAGTTATAACATCCTCTCTGAGCCTCAAGTTCCTCATTTGTAAAAATGAAATAATACTACCATCATCTCATGAAGTTGAGAATGGAAATCATATGATCCTTATAAAGTGCTTACCACAGTCCCTAACATGTAGAAGCCATTAAGTAAACTTCTTTAATTCTAACACACCATCTAGCATATGGAGTTCCTGGGTGGCACAAATGGTTAATTGCTGGGCTAACTGAAAGAGGCACCTCAGAAGACAGAGCTGGTGATCTGCTTCCAAAAGTTCACACCATGAAAATGCTACAGAGCACAGTTCCTATTCTGAAGCACTTGGGGTTGCCCAGGGTCAGAATCAACAACATATGGAGTCCCTAGGTGATGGAAATGGTTAGCAAGCTCAGCTGCTAACCAAAAGGTTAGGAAAAAAGGCCTGCAATCCACTTCCCAAAACTCAGCCATTGAAAACCCTATGGAAAAAAACAAAAACATACGTACAGTGGAATATTATTCAGCCATAAAGACAAATGAAGTCCTGATACATTTTAAAACATGAATGAGCCTTGAAAACATTATGCTGAATGAAGCCAATCACAAAAGAACAAATATTGTATGATTCCACTCATATGAAATAATAAGAACAGGCAAAGGTATAGAGATAAAAGTTTATTAACGGTCACCAGGGGCAGTAGGGAGCGGAAAGAAGGAGTCACTGCTCAAGAAGCAGCGAGTATCTGCTTACAGTGATGGGAAATTTGATAATGATTATGGGTGATGGTTGCACAGCATGATTAATGTAATTAAAGGCAGCTCTGGTGACGTAGTGCCTAAAGCATCTGACTGCTAACCAGAAGGCTAGCGATTCAAACCCACCAGCCACTCCCTCAGAAGGAAGGTTGGGCAATCTACTTCCATAGTGATACTGCCTCGGAAACCCAAGGAGGGGTCACAATCAAGGCACTCGGTATCACTAAATAGTACACCTGAAAAAAGTGCTGAATTGGCAAATGAGTTATATGGAAGAAGCCCTGGTGGTGCAGTGATTAAGGCACTCGGCTGCTAATCAAAAAGTGGCGGTTCAAGCCCACCTGTCACTCCCTAGGAGAAAGATGTGGCAGTCTGTCTACATAAAGATTTACAGCTTTGGAAGCACTATGGAGCAGTTCTACTCTGTCTTATAAGGTCACTATGAGTTGGAACTGATGACAGCTGCTGGTTTAGTGTGTATTTTTTGTTTGTTTGTATTATACTTTTACAACAATAAATAAAAGCAAAACCCTATGGAATACACTTCTACTCTGACACTGAGCTGGAATCAATTCAATGGCAACTGGTGGTTATCTAGCACATAAAAAGAACTTTCAGGGGTAGAGGAGTGCAGGCACTAGCACAGTACATCATGAATCAGACTGTATGATGTATTATGACTTTCAGAACCACTTAAACATGAGGGAAAGCTGAGCATCTTAGAGCTCAATAAATGCTCTATTTCCTTCACTAAAGGATTCACTACAAGGTCCCTTTCACTAAGGTGAATCTTTCTCTGGTCCATTTATACCAAACCTGAGTTCCCTCCCACCCCATCCCCCCCCCCAAAAAAATAGCATTTACCTACCTCTCTTTCAAAGATCT